AAAGCTTTATACCAGGATTCTATAAAATGCAACAAGATTTAATTGGGGACATAAGAGTCCAAAATAAAACTTGGCCTTTTGGCCAACATTGAGCCATGTATGTATGTGATGGATACATCTGTCCCAGGGAATCTGACTGGAGTCCTATCTAAAATAAAATGCCCTGAATCATAGAATAGTTTGGGTTGGAAGGGACCTTTAAAGGTCATCTAGTCCAATCGCCCCTGCAACGAGCAGGGACATCTTCAACTAGATCAAGTTGCTCAGAGCCCTGTCCAACCTGACCTTGAGTGTTTCCAGGGATGAGGAATTTCATGTGTTGTAGATATGGTCGTCTCAGCATTAACTGCTTTGATTCAGTGATCTGCACTTTTTTGGTCTGCCAAATTACTTGCTAATATTATTTCATTATTACTTCATAATAACTGCTATGTTTTATATGCCGTTCATTTCATGTTCTCATCATGTCTCCTATTCATTCTTCAGGTACCAGGACATACACTTTGTAGAGCTGCTTTATAGGTATAAGACTCGGGTTATTTTGGACCAAAGAGAAAGAAACCCCAAGGCCAAAGAACTCCTTTTCCTTGTTTCAGAAATGTATCAGTACATATATTTTGTGTGCAAGAGTAACAGCGAGAGAAATCAGTCCTCAAATAAGATAATTCAAGCAGATGAAGTTTTTCAGTTTTTAAAGTCTACAATGTAATTCCATGTGGAAGGCTAAGAGGCAAAATCTGTCTCTTAAAGTAGATTTTGTAATATTCAATTATGTGAGCTTAGTTGTGGACACTTTTTTAGTAGTCCAAACACTGAGTTTGTATCTGTAATTTCTTTTTTTTAAATGGATTTAGATTCCAGTCCTGTGAGGATGACATGCTATCCCGGGTCAAGACATGATGAAGGAATTAACCATGGTGACGTTTTCATATTTGAGATTAAAAGAAGACACACATCTGCCAAACGCAAGCAGAAGGAAAAAATCTTGTTACTCTTTCTAAATCCTCTGAAAGCAGCTAGATTTTTAACTTACCCAAATTCTGGAATTTTGTTAAGATTGATATCCACATAGCAGTGTAGAGAAGCACAGAAAACCTTAACTATTCAGGATGTGTGCTAGTTTCCTAGGAGAAGAGTCGGGGGGGGGAAGCAAGAGTGCATTTTCTTTTTAGTGGAATAAGCCAATTACTTCCCTTTAACTTCACACTCATGCAGGCACTTGTTTAAAAACTGCAGATGTTTACAGTTACTGACTATGAATTGTTTCCCTCCTTTATTCTGGATAAATTTAGTATCTTGCTGGGTTTTTCCTGCACAAAATCTGAGCAAATTTTAAGGGTCTGCAGTATCATCTAATGGTATTCTTTCTACTGTCTGCACTAGCTCTTTAACTACCTCAACCCAACTGATGATTTCACTTGAACTAGGAGCAAGAGAATCAGGATCTGGAAGAATGTGCTTGGACCTGGAAGGTGTAGAGGAGATTTGCACCTTTGTGCCGTAACAGTCATGATAGCCCTGGCTGGCTTACTGCACAGCTTTCTGTGTGATTGGGATAGCCTTGGATTCCAGGCACAGTAATGGAGCTAGTGAGATGAAGCTATTTACTAGTAAAGCACTAAGAAATTAGTATCATTTGGTTTGGTGCATAGTTCTTGACCCATCTGTTGTAAGCAGCATTCAGGATTATAAAACGAGAATCTAACATAAGCTCTTGAATGCTGTGCACCATGTTTTGGTAATTTGTCAGGCAGCCTTTGCAGAGTGTACTTTCAGTAATAGTGCTTCTTCCAGTTGGAAATAAGAAACATGATCAAAGAAGTAGCAATATATGCAGCAGTGTACTAAGAACACTGTCGTCAGATCTGAAGGAGATGCTTATTCGTACACTTCCATTCTGTACACATTTTTTGTTACAGAACTGTGTACCTACTAACAGCAGTGTGATTTTACAAAGCTGGATTTGTTTGAAAACTGTATAGTTCTCTATGGGACGCTTCATGCAGGATGTTTTGCAGTCCGATTTATGGAAGAGCAATCTCTGTGAGAACTGTGAATCTTGCAGGAAAAAAACCAAAGCAAATCTGTATATCTAAAATGATGTTAGCTTGGATAGCTTCAAGTGGTAGCAGAATGGCAGACAGCAAGGCTGTATGCAGCCTCACCCTAAATGTTTTGCTTTGAGTTACACCTAATGTAGGCTTATCGTTATGAGCATGCTGGCAATGACAGCGTGTAATGTGTAATCTGAAGAAATCGAACAAATAAAATGTGTCCCTAGATGAATTTAAAATGTAGAGTGCCCATTTCTAGTTTTCTGTAGCCTGCTGGCTCAATATATGGCTAGAAGAAAGGAGATGAGCAAATGTTGAATGATATGAGATGGCAGCTACAGTTGGCTTACGAGAATTGTTCTGCCTCTGGCCCTCTGGATCATGAACTTCATCACATCCAAGAAACGTTAACAGCTTGGCCCCTTGGGCTTTAGCAGCTCCAAGTATCTTTGTGGGTTTTGTAATTGACAGCTCCACCATCAGTATGCAGCTCTGATTGGCATTCTGTGCGACTCAAATGCATGAGGGTTTCAGCCTACTATTCTTTTGCAGAAGCACCATGATGGGCATCTGAGTGACATTTTAATTTGATAATGAAAGCGCCATTAAATCAGAAAAGAGAAAAATGCCTGTGTTTGTGGCACAAGATATTTTGTGTGACCACTGAGGTCATTTGAGAAAGGCCTGCTGTTGCAATAGTTATACAAGTTTGCCAGCAATGACTCACTACTGTGGTGGCTGCAGATAAATTGCAGTTGCTTTCTACTTGTTTTTGAAGATTTTGGTATTAAGAGTTTCTGTATGTTGCTTAAACAGTAAAAATCCAGCAACACTTCAGTTTGCTTGATAAAGATTAACATTTCCCAGACTTCTTCATATGTGAAATGCTGCAACAACCTGTGTTCTGTACACCCTGTTGTCCCTCTTGACTGTGTCAGAAGGGGATATGTTTTAGCACCATTAAAACCTTCTGTTTTGTCAGCAACAAGCCTTTCCTTCTTGTGCCTATTTCTAAAGAGATGCTGACTGGAGTCAGAACACAAATCATTCAGTGCAAGTCTTTGGGATTCAAGCTTCTAGACGCTCACGTCTTAGATGCTTTCTCATCTCTCTCATTTAGAGAGATGTATTAAAATATCACCTATGGAAACCAAACTTGTGGATTTGGGTTGTGCTAGACAATGTTACACCTGAATCTCTCTCTCCATGTCTATATAATATAATTAGAGAAATCTAAACCTCACTGTAAATAATTGACAGTGTAAATAGTCAAATGTATTGTTCTGCCATCCTATAGATGAGGAATGTGGTAATAAAATACTACATGTTTTGACCAAAACTATGCAGGAAATCTGTGGCAGAATTAGCATCAGGTCCGTGTTCTTGAGCTTTTTCCGGTACTTTTCATCTGCAAACATATTAAGAAATTACTTACAGTGACTTTTTATTTTCTCCAGTGTATTTCCTCTTCCAGCTGTTGAAGGTTTAGGGTTTTTTTTTATTCAGCAGAAATAGATTTTATTCTTTAAGAACTATAGATTTAGGAGGTTTTGTACTGTATGCGGCTAATGATAAAATTAACTGTCTATCTATTGATCACCCAGTTGGAACTGGCTAGTGATCTCTTGGGAAGTGACCCCAGGACCAATATAAGAAGGATAATTACTACCAGTTCAGCGTGGAGTTACTGGCATTCAGATATGTAATTTGGCCAGCCAGGGTTCTGTTTGCACCACTGCTCACAATCCCTCCAGAACCTTGTTTTCAGGCTAGACGTCCACTCACTTGAAACTCTCTGAATCCATGCTCGTTACATTTAGCAATAGTAAGTGATACTGGTGAGGTACATATTGGTGATGCCTGGAAAAGAAAGCATGGTTGTGATAATAATGAGCTTTTCAAGATTATTTTTGTGGCTCTACTCTGTGGATCTGTACTGTCATCTTCATTTGACTCTTACTGTTGACCTGTACGAAAAAACCTTTCATTACTTGCCTACTGCAAACAAAATGGTGTAGCAGATACAGTATTACTGATTGACTCTCTGCGGCAGATAATGCTTGCAACTTCTGCTGAATGTTGAGCATGTAACTGCAAATGCACTTTTTCTGGAAGGAATATTAGTAATTCTCACACTGCGACTGACATTAAGGTATCTAATGTTACTCTGAAAGCACAAGTGAGTTAACCCATGTAATATTTTGTTAAATGGATGAATGTAAAAATTTTGCAGGTGGCGAATACAGACACAAATAAAATTAAATGTTTTTTCCCGGTCACTCAGTATCTATGGTAAAAGTATGTACTTGACTTAAATATCTTTTCTTGAGTTGCTAATCTTGTTTCGGTACAAAAAGTAAATGAAAAAAACCCCAATACTCTGAGTTTGGCCCCGAAATCACTGGGCAAGCTGAACTAAGAAGACATCTCAACAGAACAGCAGCAATGTCATCTGTTCCAAATACTGAAAGCATGTATCCCTTGATGATAGCCTGTCAGAACTGCTCGGCAGTTTGTTTCTGTGTGTTGAATACTTGAAAGGTATCTTCTAAATAATTTTCTAAATAATACTTTTCTATAATTTTAACTTTGATCATACTTCAGAAAAATAGCCAAAGCAAAGTGCTGTTTATGTCTTCTTCCTTTTGAAAGTTTGAAGTCTAAAATGATATCTTGGTATTTTTCTTCCATGAGCCTTACCTTCCTAGGTATGAAAATCTTTCAGCAAAACTAGTCATTTAGTGGCATTTCAGATACCTTTAACCCTATGTTTGTTTGTTTGTTCTCCTGTGATGCTATATTGCAACAAATAAATACCTGTCTGTGTTGGCTATTATTCCTTGCAGCTGTTTTTCAGAAAAGCTATATGGAAAAAAATAGCTTGGATGATTGCAAAAGCCAGTTCATAGCCAGGAGAGTCCTGACTCTCTGCTGATCTTTTCACAGGCCTCCAGAATTGGCATCAAAGTATGCAAATTTCTCTGAGGGAGCATGCAAGCCTGGTTATGCATCAGCGCTCATGACTGTCATCTTCCCAAAGTAAGTAATTACTTTACTGGGTTTTTTTTCCCTCTTCCCCTGATGACTTCCTATCCTTCAACGTGGGTGATCTGCAGAGATTGTCTTGAAAAGTGTCATTGCTCTGTCATTTGATTGGTTCAAGGGGAGACTGGTGTTGAAATTCTGGACTGATTGATTTCAGTCTGACTAGGAGCCTGCTCAAAGAGTAGAGTTCTGTGTGTTGAATAATAAAAGAAATTACATTGTCAGTGCATGATACAGATGTGTGGTAAAGCTCACTGCTGGTACCAAATCATGCAATCGTGCAGCTTCAGTCATGAAGTGACAGATTAAGTTATATGGAGTAGTAAAGTGTGATTTTTTTTTTTTTTTTTTTTTTTTTTTTTCACTAGGGTAAAGCATCCCTTGGGTGCCCGGAGGCTTTGCAATAGTGTTTTCCAAAGAGTCTAAGACATGTTATTAACAAGTTGTGCATCTTACTCTGAGAAGTTATTGTTAGCTGAAGTGTTACTAGTTTCTTCAGAATTTGTTTCCTTCTGAAAGGGTGGAAAGTTGCAGTACTGTTTGATAGCTCTGAGAAATGAGGAATGTAATCATAACAGATCAACTAAAACTTAACTTTAAATTTGGCTTATGGCTTTCTCTAATGCACCGTGTGGCTTCTGCATTTCAAGGAGTTTGTAGAATAGCTGGAAGACAGTTCAGAAGATAGATTGCCATGAACATTATACTGTTGGGGCTCAGGGATCTCAGTTTGGTTCATCAAATGGAAAATTTGACCAAATGGTTATTTGGCCTTTGTACAAACTTCTAATGCATGTGGAAAAGATCCTATAGTGCAGTGACCTCTTTGGCAAAAGAGGTTGTGGACTTTTTAACACAACTGGTACTTTTCTAAAATGTATATTTTTTTTCTTTAGGGGAGGGAATTTCCATGACTTGCACACGTAGAGGTTAGGTTGGGTGACCATGGCCTTCAGGCCAAGCCTGAAACTGGTGGTATCTTTTGTTTTTATTAGCAAACATGGTGTCTGCAAATTTAATAAAAACCTGGCATTGCCTTGTAACCAGCAGATAATACAGCCAGACCTTAAAAATAAAACAAAACGCTAAGTGTTGAGACTATGTTCTCCATCACCAGTGTAAAACAATTATCAGTATTATCTTCTGTGTAAATGCTGGAACTCTGGTTAGAATATAAATAAATACTAGAACTGAAGGTAGATACATTATCATCCTCCTCTTTTAAGAACTTTCTGAGTGCTTTTAAATCTGTGTTTGTGTACATATTAAATGTAAATAGTATAGAAGAGGAATATAAGGTAATTTAACTGTGGTAAGATGTCTGAAGCTAAAGCCTTCCTTTCTTTATACAGCTGAAACCTAACTCCCCTTTCCAAGGCATGGCTGTTGTTACAAATTGATTCTGCAGAGATAAATTATATACACTGAAGAGGGAAGACTGTTTAGTACAGTTATTAAGGCCAGGAAAATACCATGAATGGTCCCTTATTCTGATTTGTTTTGTGACACAGGACATGATGTTTTCTTCCAGTAAATTCATCATGGATCACAGGCTAGTTAGCTTGATTTAAAGATTTCAGTTGATGGAGAATCTGGTAATAATGTGCTACATTGTTCCTATGGATAAATTCATTATTGCAAAAATATTAATCTAATTTTAAATTTAATTTAAGACTTTGGCTTCAAGAAGGAGGTTTTTTGCCTGCTAGAATCCGAAGTGTTATTTATTCTCTCCTTCAGTAGCCACTTACAGATTGCTGTTCAGTCACCTTCTCCCAGTAGCTAACTGCATTGAACCAATACCATGCAGAGAGGTAGTAACTTGTCTGCAGTCTAACTAGGTGGTTCTTGTCTTGTTCAGATATTGAAAAAATCATATTCATAGTTCTAAAGAGAGCATCTCACTGGGGGTTTATGTTCAGCTGCTTCTCTAACATGAACCCTAAACATTATTAAGGTTGACATTTTTTTCCAGGATGTCCTTTAATTCTTTATTCATTGAATTCAGTGTTGGACATTTCATTATTTTACCTGGGATTGGTGTAAGGATGGCTGATCGGTGGTTCTGCAAAGAATTCCATGCTACACTTAAGATTCTTTCTCTTCTGAAACTTCTCTCGTCCTCATAGAACTATGCAAAATTAATATTACCAAGCCAGGTATTATAATTTAATATATTTAGAAGTCTTAAAGCCAAATTAGCTTGCCTGTTGATTTAAGAATTTGAGCTGCGTGATTTCTTTTATTCTAGCTTTTGTTTTCAGTTGCTCGAATCATTAGGAAAACATCATCTCTGCAGCTGACATTTTTCAGGCTTGGTCTTTGCCATAAAAATGTGTGGGTTTGTTGGGGTTGTTTTGTTATTTGGATAAAGTTGGTTTGGCTGTTTTCAAGCATGAATAAAATGAATAAATGTTTTCCCATTCTAAAGGTTCCTGACTTTTTAGTGCAATTGTAAATGTAAATAGGCAAAATATGATGGAAATAGTTGAGATAGAATAAATATTTTTCAGAGGATGTAACTCTTCTTGGTAAGTGCTTCTTTAACAGTAAAAATGTGAGTTCAGACTTTACCAAGCATAAGCAAGTGCTAGACAGGTTAAAGAGCAATGCCCTGAGAAATCTCGAAATGTGGTTGCTGGTAAGAAAAGACTAATTTTTTTTTTTTTTTAAATGAAGTCCTCAGGCAATCAGTTCTCATTCTAGCAATGCTTGATGCCTTTATTAATAATCCTAGCTGGAAAAAATCTTAGGTTAAGTGTACAGATGATACACTTATTGGAAAGTACTAAATAAAGGATTGGTTACTTTTAGAGAACAATCTGGCTTGCATGATTTATGTGGCCACAGTCCAACAAAATATATGTTAATACATCCAATATGAAATAAGACATCTGGGAGGAACAAATGCAGATTATACCTTCAAGATAGAAAAAACTCTGTCTTGGAAACAGACACAGAGAAAGCTTCATGTAATCTCAAGAAAATATGAGGGCTGAAATGCTATTTCAGGTTCATGTGTACACACATAAGTTGAGAAATTTTGTGTGTGACACTGATTTAAAATTAAAAACCCCAAACCCCCACAGCCCAAGACTTCTAGAATACTGTGTCCAGTTTTCATGGTGAAAGTCTGAGAAGAGAGGGAAAATAAGAGATGGAAGGAAAGCCACAAAAATGAACAAGGACTGGCTTAAAAAATAAAGTAAACAAGGCTCCTAGAAATAAGTCATTTTTCTAAGCAGGAGTTGTATCCAAATGAGGAGAATAGGAAAGAGCATTAACTTTGGCAAGTTAAATATAAACCATAATGAGGTAGGCCAAAAAAATGTTGAGGAACAACTTTATAAAGGCATAAAAAAAAAAAAAAAAGCTTTTTGTCTAACTGTCAAAAGCAGAAAGCCTGCCAGAGATCCCAATGGGCTGATAGATGATCATAATATTACATGTGAGCTAAGGGAAGGTGAAGCTGTAGCAGGGAAGTTATTTGCATTGCTATTCACTGCAGAACATTTCCCACGTGGAGCCTTCCTTTCTGGGGAACAGGCTGGGGGAAGCTGACAGAAGGCTGACGTTTGGAGCAAATCAGCACAATGAATTGCTAGGAAAAGTTCTCACTTTGTGAAGAACTTGGTGGTGAAGTTGCTGAGTTACACACGGTTGTGTATAGTCATTGCTTAAACTGGCCTTAGGATGGAAGAATGAAAAGCAGTAAACGTGTCAGGCTTTTCAAGAGGGGCCCATGGAGCGTTTGGGAAACTGGAAACAATAGTGAGCCTGGTTTCTGTATTAGGCACCTTGGTAGAAACTATAAAAAAAGAATAGAATTAGTGTTCGTTCACAGGAATAAAGGCGATGATAGAGAGGAGTCAGGTTGTCTTCTGCAGCAAGAAGTCCTGCCCTGTAAATCTGCTCATGTTGTTTGAATGACTGGCTGAGCATTTGATAAAGGCAATTTAACTAATACAGTATGTCTGGATTTCTTTAAAAAAAAAAAAACAAACAACAGAACAAAACCAAAAACCACCAAACAAACCACAAACCAACCAAAAAAACCCCAACAAAAACAACAAAAAAAACCCCCAACCAAACACTTGGTGTTTCAAAAACTTGTAGGAAGTTAAACTGGTATATTCCTGTAGTGGTTAGGTAGTGACTAGGTAAAGATTGGAAACTGCATGGAAAAAAATAAAATTGGACAGCACAGGGACGTTACCGCTGGAGTCCTCTGGCGAATGCGTGCTGGGATCTCTGCTGTTCCAAGTGCTATAAACTATCTGGAACAGAGGATGAATAATAAAGCGCTGACACATTTTTCCAGGTAGCAAGACCAAAAGCTGACTGTGAGGAATGTCAGAGGGATCTCACAGCACTAAGTGATGGGACAACAAAAATAGCAGGCCAAATTCAGTTCTGATAGATATAAGGTAGTGTTTGTTGAGAAGATTGATCTGACAGCATACACCTAATGATGGACTTAGTTATGCCTTGCAAATCTGGAAAGAGATCTTGGAATTACTGTGGATGGTTCTGCAACTGACTGACCAACAATGGTTAAAAGACCATGGACATATTAGGAGACAAATGGAGAAAGCCCAAGAATATTTTATGCCACTGTCTAAATACCCCTTGCACCTGCATCTTCAATAACACGTGTAATTCTCTTCAACTAATTTTGAAATAGATGTAGAAGAATTAGGTTTATATAGTGGTAGTGAAGAGTAAACAAAACCATTGAGCCATTTCCATGCTCAGAAAGATTGAACACACTTAGACTTTCCAGTTTGAGGTAGAGCAAGCAGAGGGCAAATGGTATTCACAAGTATGTGTAAAATGGTGAATGGCATAGAGATGCTGTTTAGGTGATTGCTTCTCTCAGTACAAGACTCAGAGGTATTAAATGGGAATATGGTGCACCAGTTTAAAATAAAGGGAAGTGCTATTTCATACTATTTCCAGTTACGTTATTCTGAGAATGAGTTCCATAGTGGGCA